TTTTTTATGAATTATTCTGGATCGTGATAAGAAAGCATTTCTTAATCATAGTGTATGAAAGGAAAACAAATGACAGATATTTTGACATTCACTTCATCTTCTTGTCACTAAATTTAATAGATAGTAATATTCATCGAAATTTCCTGATAGGAAAGGATGAGTCAAACGCTTTTTTTTTTCCTCCTAAACCAATAAAACATTAAAATATTCTGAGACAATCTCGAAGATTACTGTCTTCTTAGATAATAATTATTTTGATATATTTTAATTATTTATTGTATTTTTACAAAATGAATATTAAAAGTAACGAAATTTATAAAATCTTTTATAATTCTTTTTTATGAAAATTCTAATTATTATATCTCGAGAAACTATACTTATATTCTATTTATTGTATTTCATATATATATACGTGTATATTTTATAATCTACTTCTGTTATGGTTTATTCTGATTCATTAATATAATAGATAAATCCATTTAATCCTACTAAAACGTGAAAAATTTATAATTCTTATATTTAGCTATTGTACTATCGAACTTTCTTTAGAGCAAAAAAAAAAAACTCTAGTTATATCAATAGACATGATAAATAAATTTTTCATGTTTTTTTTTCTTATAAAAAGAATAAAATGAGATGAATTTTAACATAACAGAATGAAATAAATAATAAAATTATAACTTTTTTTTTCCTTTTTAAAATGTAAAAATGAATCTCTCGAACACAAAAATAAAGTTCTTTTTTTAGTTACTTAGGACATACGAAAAGAGTAGCGGTAGTGATACTTCAATACTATATAATAAAATTAAACTAATTTTCTATTAATACGAACAGTTAGTAAAAACAATGTTCTACATTTTTGTAATATTTCAACTAATAAAATATCAACAAAGATCTATTTGTTATGATACGTAACGGTTAAATAAATGATGATGTTTAAAAAAGCAAAAAAAAAGTGATTATTTCACAGTATTTACTACACAATCGACTTCCAGTATCAATTAGAATACCTATAACTGATAAATGATAAAATATCAACGTGTTAATATTATTATAGTGCTGTAGATCTTTGATCAACGGCTTTAATGTATACTTGATAATTGAAAATTCAGTGCAAAAACGAACGAGAGTATGTTCTATTTAACCGTCACGTATCATAACAAACAGGTCTTTATCGATATTATATCATTTAAAGTCTGATAAAACATAACAAAAATGTAAAACATTGTTTTTACTATCTATCCATATTGATAGAAAATTATTTTAATCTTATTATACAGTATCGAATTGCCACTGCTACTACTTTTGGTATGCTGTAAGTATTTTTTTTTTTCTTTTTATCTTCGCGTGTTATTCAGCATTATGATATAGATAATAGAATTAATTACACATCTATATGTTGGTTTTTTATTTATTTATTTATCTGAAACTAGTGCATTTTAATCATAGTATAAGAACAAAATGAATAATATAACGAATAAATAAATACCGTTTTACTATTTTTCAGCTTTCGACTGATAGTATATCTAATGTATCTTTTTTTTTCTCAAAAGTTCAATATATAATTCTTTTAAGTAGTCAATTAGATTCATAAGTGAAGCAATCATTAATAAAACTGCAGTTCTGAAACGAATATTCACTATGAATTGTATGTCATAACAATATTGTAGGTCTTACGTGTATGAAAAGCTCAAAACTTACAACTTTATCGATAATTATTAACAGGACGAACGATTATTTATGAACCTTTCTAATTACTTACAAGAAAGGTATATCCAACTTTCAAAAAAAGAAACGTTTCCAATCAAAAATCATTACTTATTCGCTATAGTATTATTATATTCTTAGAACATCATCATAATGTACCAGTTTCAAATAGATAACAAAATAAATTAACATAACATCTTAATACAATATATATATATATGTAGTTGACTCTATTACCTATGGCATGATGTAGAAATGAAAGTGGAACAACATAAGAGGAAGAAAAAAAAAAGGAATCTTGTGTTTGTCTGTCAAAGATGTTTTATAAAATTAATGTTATCTAAATGATAATTCATTGACAATATATTACTTTTTTCTCATATACTTAAGTTAAATTGAAAATTAATTCTATTAGAATGAGAGAGAGCACTTGTGATTTTTTGATTAATATGCGTGTGTCATGCTTAAAAAGAAGATGTGTTCATCTATTAGCTCTTCTCTATTTGCTTGTCATGAATAATATCTATTAGAAAACTTGGACAATCTTGAACAGTCATATTTATTATTCACGAAATTATCTATTTATGTGTACGAGAATAGATCTGATGAAATATTTCGAATATTTATAATATTATAAATTGACATTTTTTTTTTGGCTCTGAGAAATGCATTTATAATAATGGAATATATAATTAATTATTTATCAGTCATCTTGATTTTAAGAAAAACAAAAGAAAAGTACAAATATTAGAAAGAGTTCACTTAATAAATATAATTTATTATCAAAATTTTACAATCAAAACTCAAATATATATAACCGTGATATCAATGGTTATAGAAAAGAATTATGAAATGATTGAATATTATTTTCAATCGAATTTCATTTTATGATAATCGCTGTAAAAGAACTTTCCAGTAGGCTTACATAATAAATTAGAATATTGTGCAATGAAATTCTTAGATAATAATTCTTAGATGATACCTGTAGTATACATATATGAAGAATATTCAGAAAGAATGAACCAAACGAAGTGATCGCCGAAACGAAGATGATTAAAAAGAATAATGTTCGTTTCGGTGATAAGGTACAGAATCATTGTTTCGGTGCTGGAGAAGTTTCGTAGGCGATTTGGAATCTACGAAAGTTGATTTATTACATTCCTTAAATGACGTCAATGAATAAATATACTAGATCTTGACCGAATTTTTTTCTTCTTCTTTTCTCAGTCAAAAAAACGTTTAGTATTTCATCAAAGTTTTTTCTTTAGTTCATTGTATGGCTTTTAATTTTACAAAAATAGTTTAATCCTCATTCAATTGTATAGTCGAATAAATGTTGATTCATCAATATACTTAAATGGCTTTTGTACTTTTATGTTTTGTGTAATATATTAAAATCTTGTTGTTTTCTAACCATATTGATATTGTAAGGCTTCAAACTTATTTAGAGATTCTCAAGAAATATGTCAGAGACTGTCTATTGGCATTAAAGTAAAGTTTTTTTTTTTTCTTATGACTTAATAGATAAACATAAAACTATAGATAAAACAAGTATACTCAATAATGTATATTATTAAAAATATATATGCTGAGTTATATTTCTTATGATCTCTAAAGAAATTATACAATACATTTATAATGAATAGATGATAGAAATAAAAATTGGTTTCTCATATTATATTTATAATACATTGTCTGTATAAAAACAATTCTAGTCTTTATAATTTCGGCTCTTTTTCTGTTTGAATAATAACCTGTTTACATTAATTAGACTGTAGCTCAACAACACGCAAAAAATATTAATGTATTGAATCTAACACATATTTTTTCCTCAATAAAAATTTGTATGATATTCAATAGATATATAAGCTATTTATCATATTCAATAACGTTAGTAGAATTCAAAGAAAAACTAAAAAGTCTAAGGCATAAAAAAAAGTATCAGATATTTTTTTTATTTATATTGTTAAGTGTATCATTAATAATATATTTTAGAAAGCACATCATGTCAATCCATATCGTACAAATAAACCAAAATTATCATATCGAACTAAAAGATTAACAATTCATTAATCAATGGTTTAAAACTGAAAAGAAACAATAGATTAGCTTAATGTCGACTCTGTAGAGTCATAATATGTTATATATATAATAATATATGTAGAACTTATTATTATTGGAGTTCAATCAATTATTAAAATGAATATTATAGGATCCAAAAGCATATTGCTTTAAAAACTGTCTTAGGATTTCAAAATTTATAGAACTTCAGAAATATCTCGATGTCTAAATGCTTTCTACTGATTTATCAATGTATATATGTGTGTTGCGATAGATAAATATGTATAAAGTAGAGATTAAAATAGATCAAAGAGTAGCTTCTCTTCATCATGCATTTTTAATATTTTTCATAGGCAATACCAGAACTGAGCAACAGGACAGGAATCTTCAGATAAATTTCTCTTGAGTTTTTTTTTAAGATTTGTTTTTGATTAAAATACAAAATTATATTTGGCAAATCCAGTAATGATCTATAAATACATCTGGTTACTTTAATGTCATACGATCGAACACTTCTAATAGAAAGTTCAACAATCTTTATCTTCTACTGATTCTCTGCCGATCCATGGCTATGAAATATTGATTCATACAAAATAATAAAGAAGAAAGTTTTTTCGATTTAAAATATGATGCAATGTATCAATGAAAATAAATTCTCAACTTTAGATATTCTGAAAACACTTCAAATGTTAATGCTAAATTTTGAAAACATATTGTGAACAATCTTTTAATTTTTAGTTTTTCTTCTGAACTTCTGAGAGTGTTCAGAATTTCATAACTATTTTTGAGTCTCCTGAAATACTTTCTGATAAAGACAATTGTTGAAATTCTATTGATTGTTTGTTTTAACAGATCGTATTCACAGATCACTGCCATACAAATGTAACAAATCAACATCCACTTTTTCATTAGTCGGTTTTCTCAAGAATAGGCTCTCAAAAGAAGTAGTGTATAGTTATTGAAATTGAAAGCAACAAAATACTCTCAATATCGAAAGATATTTGCCAAGAATGTCAAATGAACACTGGAATAATATGTATTAAATCAAAACTCAATTCAAGTTCAGGCGGCATTATGCAAGTATGAAATCGTACCGTATAATCATTTATTGTTACATTAATTGGTACTAAAACTTGGAAGACTAAGATTTTTATTGCTAAATAAGAAGTGTAATACATCAGTTCAACTGATCATCTACTAAAAGAAGTTAATCGTGTCCAACAGAAAATGCCTTAGACTTGATAGCGTTCTGGTGCTATTTCAATTAATTCATCAGACATTTCACGAACTGGCAGGTCGCCAAGGCCCGCAATAGTTGATTGCGAAATTGGAAAACCCCAGAATTTGAACAGTGGAACCAAATTATGTTCTACTTGACGTGAGAAGGTTGTGATCCAGTGATCTATTTTCTCTTGATCATTATTCAAAGTCGGTTTAGTTTGCTCATATTGACGAAAGACGGCCTTGTAGCTGTCCCAACCAAACTCTCGTGCTAGTTGTGCGTAGATAAACAAGCCAAAACCAGCATTTGTTTTCCATTCATTGAAAGGCGTTCCTTTCTTTATACTCTCCTTTGTCTTCTCTATTTGATCCTTGAGCCAAGAGTGAATCCATGGTTCAAGATGACAAATAGCATCCATGGCATGTAGAGTGAAGATATTCGTGGTTATTTCACGTGCAAAACTAAAAGCTAAACAAAATCTTTTTTTTTCAAAAGATCTAAATATATGCATGCAACACTTACTCCACCAGTCACGCTGCATGTTATGACCGATTTCATGAAAAAGACCCCAAGAGCCATTCTTTTCTAGATTATCACTATTCATTAAGAAATGTTCCGCTTCTGGATTCGTTACATCTAAATGAGTGACAACTGGATAACCAGCATCTAAAATGAATTAATACTTTTTGATAATCAGGAAACTTATATCTGAATCAAACTATTCTTACGCATGTAGCCAGCTGATGGCTGTTCATCACATACGATGCGTTCTCGACGTACTGGTGTAGTACCTCGCAATTCATGATGAGTGAGTACTACAGTATCCCAGAAACGAAGAGCTCGATCTAATTGATCACTATTCAAATGGCGTACAATTTTCGAAGGAAGATTGAACACAATATATTGACCAGCAATATCTGCCCATAAGCCCTGTGCACGAACACGTAGATCTTCCCAGTGTTCCTCTCGATTAGAATCCATGAGATCATAGATAGGTGTTAGAACAACATTCTGTAGATTAACACTAATGGAATTCGATTCACCAGTAGGACTCTCAAGAAAGAGAAGACCACCAAAAGCTGAACTCATTTTGATAGTAGTACCAGACAGCGGTTTGCGTGAAGAAATGCAGTGCCATCGACGTAATTGATCGCATTTCTAATAAAATTGTGTGTATATGTTGATATGAAGAACTATTTTGTATGAAAACATACTCCGAGATCATCACTGTGACAACCGATTCTGGCTGACCATCCAGTTGCACCAACTTGTTCTGATACATCGATTTGTATGGTAGTACCCGCAGCTACATAGTATCCTAAAAGAAAGATAACGAACTTAGTATCGTTTCAATATCTATGGGCAAAGAAGAACTTCTTCATGGTTTGAACAAGTTCAAACATACCTGTGCAATACCATTCGCTGTTCTTCGACTGAATATTAACCGTGACATCTGTTTCCATAGACGGTGTATCATCAAAATCACCCGGAAATTCGTTTATACCTAAGATTGACATATAACTTAATATTGATCGTTAAATGTGACCTTACTTACCAGGAGCTTTAGTATTACATAATCCACACATCATATCACACAGACCGACTGATCGCTGTCGACATGACTGATCTTTAATTGGTGATGTTTTCGTTGGAATAACATCACTTTCAGCATTTAGAATCATATTTTGTACAGTTTCAATTAGTGAATCAGGCAATGTATCGTTTAGTTCCTTGATTGTCGATCCGACGATAGCCATATATTCGACATTATTTGGTTCGCTGGTCAATACCTGAGCAGCATTACAAACATTTTTGAATTTGATCATTTCAGGCCGAAACGGAATTGGATCGGGAGAACGACCACAATTATCGGTCAGTTTGACACCAAGAGAATCACAAAAACAAGCAAATGGGAAATCTGAAAGAACTTTGCCCTTATATCTCTGTAGCCAACCCCAGGCAGTTGCTGCACAAACCAGAGCTCCACCTTCTTGTAAAAATCCACGCTAATGATACGAAAATATTCAAAATAGTCTTCATGACAAAAAGAAAACTATGGTACTATTTACCAAATCGTCCATGAACGGATCGCTTTTATTATTATGTCCATTCCAAACAAGAATTGTTCCTTTTTCTTTGACACTGTCCATCGATTCTATCGAATCGATTGATTCGAATTGTGCATCTTTTCCTTGAGATAACCATCGACGACAATTGTCGACAAAATGCTGATTTTTTGTGTCATTATTAAGAAAAATAGCAGGATAACCATTGTGTGCAAATACTAAGCAACGACCATTACCGAATCGAGTAGCAACAACGAGGACATTATTAAAATCATCACCACATAGTACAGCACGTGTATCCTGCGTCATCGGAATAAGAGTTCCAGGAGTGCCTATTTTACTGAGGGATGTAACATTTTCGAATAGAATTTGAGGTACTTGATCGAATTCATCATCGTCCATTTTTGTTTGCTTCTTTGTTGTCTAGTTAAGAAATAATGATGTACATTCAAAACATAAACAATGTAATGTGATCATTTGCTTACCTTCGCAAGTAATATCGAACAGAATGGTTTAAATAGAAACAAGAGAAAGAACACAATTATACCAATATATATATACAACCTTGTACAATGTATTGCACATGTTTTTAATTGCAGCCTTATTTTTGTATAATCATATTTATTTATTTTTTATGTTTTATGTTGGCAAAGCACATAGATAGGGCAAAGTATAATAAATGCAGAGCGATTGACTTTGATGAAATATAATGCATGTGAAGGGCATGAATGTCATAATGTATAACAAGTGAATAAACTAAGAAATTACTCAAATATCGATATTTTACATATTAACTACTGTAAAGTTTTTGCAAAAAATGAATAGCATAGCAAGTTAGACTCATGAAGGAACATATTTGAATGTATTATCTGAGAAGATGCTTAAAAATATTATATACTATAGGGGGTCTTGGTGAGTATCATTCATATTAATGTCTTATCGACTCTCGTTTAGTGTCAGAAAAACGAGAGAATCAAACATTTTCATTTTTAAGGATAGTACTGCTATGAAACATATGGGTGTTCACTATTGTAAGATTTGAATGAATAATTAAAATTTAGATAAAAAAAAACTGTTAAAATTGAAGAGAAACCAATATGAAAGAGTTGTTTTTTTTTATCACAAATAAGTATATCCAATGTATATGTCTAATTTAGTGCCTATCTTGGCAGTCATTCGCTAAAGAGAATGAATGCCGTTCTCAACTAATGTCGTTAGATGAGATGATAAACACAGTAAATATATGTGTTAAGAAAAAGCTATCTTCTACGTTGTTTGTTTACAGTAATATTTTGATAGGAGAACTGCAATCGTTCAAGTGTAACTTTAACAACATTGCTGGTGCAATACTTTGTTTATTTTTCTATATTAAGTATAAATTGTCATCATAAATTTTCTAATTATGAGAATATAGCTGATATTAAATGATTGATGAAATTTAAAGCAAAAGTTTTTTATGATGATTATTTGTAGACGAGCAAATATATGTAGTAGCTTTGTATAAAGCAATAATGCATAGCACCACATGTTTGTTTTATAAGGATTACATCAAATTGTAGCTAATAAACTGTTATAATTACTAATCAAATTGAAAGCTAAATTTGTTGTTTAAATACTATAAGCGATGTTATATGACACATTATTATTCTCGTTGAATATTTTTTTTCTTTTACAAAGCTTTATGTGATTTGACTTTTCAATAATAAGATAGTGCCATGACGATTATATATGGATAGAATATTTTTCCAATGATTCGCTATGTCAGAGACGATTCCTGTATGCTATTCTCATATATCGATCAGCCTTAGTGAGTGAATACTTCAAAAAAATCTCGCTCCACATTTTGTTAGTAAACTGAGAAAGATTTCCACGTGTCTTTTTTAAGAATTTTAGTCTATTATGTGCTCACTGAGTTATGGTAATAATAAAATTGAAAAAGTCGCCATGCATATTCAACTTGAAAATCAATTCTACATCCCTATTTGACAAACTAATTAAAAAAAACTATTATGGTATTAAAAATATATTCGTTGGCTGCCGACAGATGCTGCCAAAAGCTATATAGTTGACTTATCGCTACGATTTTTCGAAAACTAAAGTAGATGAAAATGGGTTTTTTTTTCAGAAGTAAATGACCATGTTCAGACCAGTCAAATAAAAAAGAAGTTTACTAAGATTGATTGTGTGGAACTCGATCTATAGGAATTTTTAGTTTTATAACAAACAGTGCAATGGCTTTATTCTTTATTTATATAAATAAAATAAAAAAATTCTTTTTAGTTTTTTTAATTATTTCAGGCATTCCAATTTCAACTGAAAATCCTTTGTCAATTGTGACGTATCTATTTTGTTTTGTTTCTCATGCCTATTTTCGAGTCAAGTACTCGTGGGCATCTTTTGAATAGCTTTAAAACAAAAAGAAAGAAGTAACTCAAATTTTTCGTAGTATCTAGAGTTGACGCTCCTATCTTTACACAAATATGATAAAAAATTTCTGTCGTTTTTCTCGAATCAATCATAAGTTTCGTAGATGAGCTTAGTTTGCTTTGAAAACAGTACAATTTTCCTAATACAATACAAGGAACAGATAGTCTGACTTCTCCTCTATCGATAACTGTGTGTGTTCAAAAGATATAAAGAGCTTACTGAAGGTCGCTCAGTAGCTTTTTTCTCAAAATCTGCATAAGTAACAAATTTTCCGTTCTCGAAATTGTTAGTCATCTTTGGCTTCATGAAACAATTCGATAACCTATGGAATTTTTTTCTACAAATAATGTCATAAGAAGCCATACACTAAATTCATTTTGATGAGAATGATTCAATATCTTCAGGAAGTTCTCGTCAAACTTCATTCTTTTAACATTTTCATCGCACAAATCGTGAAATCTAAATTGGTAAAGCGAACAGAATTTAAAGATGTTTAGTTAAATAATAGTCGTTAATCAATCAGTATCATCCGTACTATAGAAAACTAGAGCTATTATTGTCATAATCATTTATTTCTTCTTCGATCTGTTCAATATAAATATCGGTCTTTTAAAATTTTGTCTTATATTGTTTGATATAACTCATGTAACTGGTTGCTTTCATCACACGTAAACCATAAATCCATTCGTATGGCATGTTTTCATATTGGTCGAAGCTGGTTCTATATGATACAGGATACAGCATCTCACTGGGTATGGATGTGATGGTGGTTGCAGGGAATACCAACAGTCACACTCACACCACTCACCTTTAATAAATTCTTTATAACTTTTGAACACAAACAGTTATCGATATTGATCTTAGATCAATTGATAGAGAAGAATTCAGACTATGTGTCCATTATATATTATAGTCGGCAAAGTATACTGTTTTCAAAGCAAATTAACCTGATCTGTAAAACTCATGAGATACTCAAGAAGAAAATAACTGGAATTATTTATTAGTTTTATAAAAAGATAACAGTATCGACTGTAGATACTACAAAAAATTCGAGTTGCTTTTCTCTCTCTCTCTTTTTTCTAAAGTTATTCAAAAAAATGTCCACAACCATATAAATCTGAAACGGACATTAATGACTTACAATAACTTTCTTATGCTTTCATAGCGTTTAAAGTACAACTCGGAAATGCGATAACTTCTGGAAGAAAAAATTTTTCACCATGGAGGAAGTTGGGAAATATATTCTACAATAACATACGGTGAAGAGTTTAGTGTAAAGTATGAATCTTCCACTATTATAATAAACCATGTGGAAAACTGAAGATAAAATGCTTAGAAAATAGAATAATAAAAAAATGACAAACTGTTAAGAAAATATGTAAACAACAATTAAGATATTGAATTTGTTTCGGTAAAAGCAACAAGAAAAAGACATGGTAAAACGGTGACTAGTTTGAAGAAGTTTAATAATTTTAATAGAAACATACATTGCCTCTAAAAACTTTTATTTCTATGAAATAAAATTTTTTATGCATGCTCTGCAAGTGGAAAGCGTTTCATTTTTTTTTCTTCCGCATTGTCATTTATCAACACTTGCTTTACTTGGATAGGATCATTCGAAGCACAATTCAAATAAAGTAGGTGATCTTTGATTTAAGCATTTTGTGCTTTGTTAAATACGACACATATGAGAGAGTTAATTGTAACATTCACCTGTAGCAAACTGCTTCTATTAATCTATTACATGAAAAACAAACGGACAAACAAGCCATGATATACTCAGAAACACAAGTTGAATCCTTGACTTTTTTATTGAATTTCCACTAACAGCTCTGAGAGATGCCATTGTCAAGAAAAGCAATATGTTGAAAAAGACACCGTCGATTGAGCTGAAACGTTCAGAAAAGATAGATAGCAGATGGCTCAACGGAAAAAATACATCGCACCTGTTTACTATACTGTCCTTTGAGGTACATTACTATATTTTATGGAACTTAGTCGTTACTTTAAATCGATTTACTGTACTTCTCAATAATATTATTGGTTATTATCTATCTTTTTGTTTTCGTTTAGAATAAGTTTTCAACATATCGAAACTGCAGTAATGATATTGAAATTTTGTCATTGGTCGGGAATAACTTTTATGTATACCTATTTAAGCGCGAAAATTAATTTTGATAACCGAAGATGATTTATTTATAGTTTTCGTATAGTATATTTTCAAAATAAACAATTACATATCAAAATAAAAGAGTCTTATTAGCGAAAACACTATTTCACTATTTTAGAAAGGAGTTCGTTTTAATCTAGAATACATACAAATTTTTATAGAGTTAAATAATAGTAATACTATTCTTCTTCTTTCTTCCTGTTAGGTATTTTTTTTTTTGAGATTTTGAGAATTAAAACACCGTCTATTATTACAAGTAAATAGTGTTGTTGATCAAGTCATAGAGTACAAGAAAAATATCATTATCAAAGCGTCTGTTACAGCAAATGATTTTGTTATTGAGTTTGATGAGATTTGTTATAGACTTCCTGTCTGCCGTTGAATCTTTTTTCGATACTTTCATACTTGAACTTTTGATGATTTTTAAAATCCTTATAATAATTTGATAATACAAGAAAGAAAGGATGATTTTTATGTTTTAGATATAGGGCACATTGTTTTTTAGTTCTTATAAGATGACAGTTGTTTTTAACAAACCGTTAAATAAAATATTACCAACAGATGAATATCATATCCTCGAATAAGAGTCGTTAAGTAAATATGTTTTTAGCTAGTCAAATGCAAATTAAAAAAAATTTTCCTTAATTCAAAAATATAAATAGTAGTTATTTAAAAAAGTTTAAATTCGGAATTAAAGATAGATGACGAGAGAAACAATTCAAATAATTATTTATTTGTTAGCGATGAAGTTATCAGCAAGAATAATGAGAACATTCAAAGGTTTTTTCCATCATTAGAGAACAATGATGAAGAAAATACAAAAACCTGTCAGAAATAATTTTAATGGAATAAATATTTCACATCAAATAAGTATGGAGCTGGAAAATTACTATTTTACAATTAAAATAATTGACACGTTGAAATGTATTCATAAGTGAACTGCTTGTTGCATGCTACTTAATATAAATGGAAGAATTTCAACAGGTTGTTTATCTCATGAAATACAGAGAAACAAAAAGTAACAAAGACAATAGATCTTGTATACTTGCTGCTATTAACATATATTTTTACGTAGGATAAATATGTAAAGTCTCTTTAACGTAATTTACAGTATTTTAGTGTACTTTGACTTACGAAAGTAGGACGATTCTTCTTTGAGGTGATTTCTACAAGATCATAATATTTGAGTCTAAATAATGATTCCTTACTTATGTGGATGAAGCTAGAAAACCCAATTCAGCCACTTTTGTAATTTAGAAATTCTTGATCGCAAGAAGATGGTTGTCGCGCACTGATTTCAGAAACAGATGAGAATAGAATCTCATTTTGATTACAATATTGGCTTCTTCGGACAAAGCATAAATATGAGATGGCTCCCTGTAAATTAGTTTTCCGTAAAATTACCATATTGTACTGCAGCAATCTCAGAAATTAAATTACTTTGCTTGGGTTGAATATTCAATCTGAAAGGTTCATGTGTGCCCGATAGCATAGCACCAAAATTGCCCTGGGATCTTCATGCACTTTATGTTCATAAACCCATAGCGAGGACGACCCAGATAGCAATTCCGAGCTAGGTGTTGAACCAAGCTAAAGTGCATACATGGTCTCTCAAAAACAACTATCTATCTGAAAAAGACAATAATGTGACTTTCGAAAATACTATGGCACAAAGTTGAAAATATTATAAAAGGTCAATTTGAATGAGGCTATCACAAGAACGTGCTCCCTTGGAGATCATGAATCTTTCTATAAAAAGAGAAGTTATTTAGATCTAACTCCTACTTCTAGTGACTAGATCAAAAAGGTTTTAAAAACATCTAAAATTGCCATTGTAGCTCCATTGAGCGATATATATAAAAGATTCAGGCATTGCGATATTCACTTGAGATTTCTGTTGTCGTTAGGACATCTCATGACTATTTTCATAAAAAGTTTCGGTTCAATCACTCAAGTCATTCATGAGATTCAATCACTTGATATAGACATTGCACAAGATTAATGATCTTTTTATGCATTCTGAGAAGTCCCAAAAACTTCTTATATTATTTGTATCTAAGATCCATTCGTTTGAGGTACTTTTCTTCCCTTTTTTTATCTTCATCTTAGATTAAAAAAAATTGTTACGGTCTATCAGAAATATGTCTGTTGTCTGATAAAAAGACGTTAGTTTCGACTGAAAATACAATCTTTGGTTCTAATGCTTGCTACATCGACTGATAGAGATGTCAGGAGTAGAATGTTCATCCTTATTCCATCAATTCAGCCGTTTTTCTTTCCTGTTTTGAATCAGACAATAGAAATGGGTGTTGTTTTCGTTCATGATCAAAAGTCGTATGCTAATGTAACCGAAATTTCGGCATCAGACTAGCAGATCGATACAAATAATGTAGTTCCAATTCATTACTATCAATATATATGTGCAGTAAAATTTGCTACCAAATTACTGTCTTCTGAATCTGAAAACATAAATTATGGATAATATTAAAAAGATATAGATCTGTAAACACTTTTTTTAGCGAAGTTAGACAAATTTGAGAGAAGTTCAGTGTTTCACAGTATAGTAGTATTTTTACCAAGAACAAAATCTGTTTGAGAGAAGAGCAACAAGCATATTTTTCCAGTTGCTATCATAATGTAACAGAGAGTGGGTATGGACGAGACCAATCTTAGAGCATACTCTTGAAGCCCATTGCTTGAATTCTGGGCTATTTTAATCAATAGACATGTGCTCTAGATAATTATTTCAGTGTTTTGTACAAGAATTATTTATCCGAGAAAACGGTTTTTTCGATGATCAATCTGAAATAATTGACGTTTGCTTTGACGTCTAGGAGGGTTTGTACAGAGAGTCTAGTACATGTTTTGAAACTCAAGGCTTATCCTATGAGTGTATATAATTAAATCTATAATTCTAGTCTCGACAAGGTCTAGCTCCAAATCTACTACAAAGTTCAGAAAATTTTCGAAACCGTCAAAATAACTTTTTTCAAAAATAAATTCTTTGGTACGAGTCCCTCAGTCAAATACTTCATTACAAGAGCATATATATTGAGGCAAGTATTTGCCAAGTGATACATGGTTGCAATGATATCCATATCTCATAACATGAATTCTTTGAACATATATAAGTACCTGAATCAGATGTTGATACGAGTGAAAATTCTTGCTCAAGTTCCTATTCAAGTGTTTGTCAAGAAAAATCACTCTGTAAAGACCACTGGAAGTTTCTACGTTACTTGAACATATTTCCAATACAAGAAACACATGATAGACAAAGAAAATTTGCTAGTCAACTATCTTTTCAAGCTAGTTGTTTTTCAGGACAAAATAATGAATCAAAACTATATTTGGCAATTATTCTATGGGTAACGTTGTAGATGGGAAATTGCGGTATTAGAGTCAGTATGACTATCTTTTTCAATCGGACTTCACTTCACACATATCTTCTTACATAGATCCATTAGTTCATCCAAGCCCACACTCTTGATAAACTATACATTTTTAGGATAAGTTTATCAGACTGGACTCTCTTATTACAATTGGGAACCTATGGTTCTCTATCATGATCGCACACGAATTTCTTCAAAAAAATATTGATAAAGTGTCCATTTGAGAATGAGCACTTGTAATTGTACTAAAATTCGCCTATTCTATTGATTACAAATTTTATAGAAAAACGTATACTCACATGAATTATTTCATTGGTGAGATGATCGTCTGCTTTTTCTTTAAACATCTTTGTTTCTTCGTTGCTAGGTTATTCACAGTTAAAATTAGTTCATACTCCTTGAAACTAGTACGGTGATATTGACTATATTGAAGTATGTATTATTAAGCATATGTGATCATTAAAATTATAGATTTATTCATAAAATATTCACATCCATTATGAATGCTGCTCCATCTGTCACAATGGCACCTCAGTAAGTAGGAATATTGAGGAAAGACTATGTTTATTTTCTATTCATAGAAACCAAAAAAGACGAATACATATGATTATTGGCTCTGTTGTCTTCGCTCTTTGTGCTCTGTGTATTTTTATAATTGCGATAGTCATTACTGAGACAAATGTAAAAAATTCTTTGAAAAAAATATCTAAAAGCGTAACCACAACAAGAATCACTACTAGAACAACAACTCGTACAATTCAACAAGCATTTAGTACAACTGCAAGGATTGGCAGTACTAACTCAGTTACAGTTAGTACAACTAGAACAACAACTGCTGCAATTCAACAAGCATTTAGTACAACTGCAAGGATTGGCAGTACTAACTCAGATACAGCTAGTACAACAACAAATATACCTAGTAAGCTATATAAGGTGTCACTAAGGGCAAAGAGAAGTTGCATAGTGCTGACTTTCACAGTAGATTTTCGATAGCAAACGTTTACTTGATAAACAGTCTGCATATTATTTTGAATGATTAAGATATCCTTACAGCACCAAGTGAGGTTGAGAACGGTCTCTAAACTAAACAAAAACCCTTCAGATAAATGCTGAAGTTATACAGTGACAGCCAGCCTTAAAAAAATCCTTTTCTTGTCACAATTTTATGGCTCAAGAAGATATTTATTTTTATTAAATGTTTTTCTTTCGTAACATATCGATTGGGCTCAGAACTGAAATATAAGTATTTCACTGAATTGTATGTGGTATCTACATCTCATATACGATGAGCTTATTCTACTTGTGAACGAGACCTGTGCCCATGTATAATATGATATATCCGCGAACGCTAAGCTGATATACATATTGAGATGTCTGTTATTGTCGGTGATGCTAGTGAGCTTTATCGATCTTGTCTATCTATCTATCTATTTGTCACACATATGTGCGGAAGATCAAGCAAAAAAGTCAGTTTTTTCTTTTATATTCGTTCATGGAAAGAAGATCTTCTCACGCTCATTTCTTCTTTCATACCTTCTCATATAGCTAATTTTTTTTATGAAACAATTTAGGGATGTACTTAAGTGTCCTTTTCTCACCATATCCTCGTCTATATAGACACTCGCATATTGCATAATAAGAAAATCAAAATGATATGAACGATTTTCTAGAAAACAAAAGAGAGGTGCACTTTTATAGGGATGTACTCCAATATTCATTATTTTGTTTCATTCACAATAGAAATATGATGTATTGTAGGTTATTATATCCAATCCAGATTGACCGGTTTTGTACTTGATCTTGAAGGTGGTAGTTTGAATCCAGGTACATATCTTGTTGCCTCGCCGATGAAAAATGAAACTAGTGAAGATCCATCTAGTCAACTGTGGTTTTTTGATCCAGATGGAACCATTCGAAATATGGCTTCTGGATTAGTGATTGACATCTCAAGCGGTATAAATGGTGTTGATCTAGTTATATGGCCAATGAATGGACAAGGAAACCAACTATGGACAATGGTGGACGTATATTTAGTTTGTCAAGCTGCAAATAAAGTAATGGATGTCGCTGATTTCAACACCGCACCTGGTGCACGTGTAGTTGCATGGCAACAAAATTTCGGTTTAAATCAACAGTGGAATCTTATTCTGAAGTCTATATGACATTCGAAAATACAATTAAATTTTCCTAATTACTGGACTAAATATAAGAAGATGAGAATGGTTGTAGAGATTTTTTTTGTATATTCCGAATATCACAGAAGTGTCTGCTTCGAAGTTCAATACTTTATTAAGCCTACTTATGTAATTTCAGAAAGCGCAAAAAGTTTTTCTGCACTCTTCATGGATCACATATCGATTATTGTATAGAAAAGTACCGAAAGAAGAATAAAAAGCTTCTCAGTGCAAGATTCAATGAATATACAACGTGAAAATCACAGTGAAACATTCTTGGTAACATAGTGCTGATTGACAAGGTGCAAAAATCTCTTTCGAAAATAAGAATAGATCGAATCGAATGTGCCTCGTTCTAATATTTGGTAATTTTGAATATTTGCCGAACATTTTGATTGTTAAGACCAAGGGGGAAACAGCTGATTCCATGATTCCGTGATTCCATTGATTCCGACTGATTCCTATGATTCCAGGTGATTCTGTTGTCCGGAATCAGCTGTTTCCCCCTTGCTGTCACATGTGTTTTGAGAGCTGACATAGATGAAAGATTGACTTACTTTTCCTAATATATTCATTCATGGATGAAAGACTTCCAACGTATTTTTTTAAATATCCTTTCATATTGTTTAATTTTGTTATTGAAATATTTTAGAATATGCACAAGTGTATTTTGCTCACCTATATCCTCTTCTACATCTATACTCACTCTCACAGACAATGATGATAAAAAGGAAAACTATATAAATGATTTTCTAACAAAGGAAAGGATGTGCCTGTTTTAGAAGAATTTATCTAAACAGTCATTTCAAATTATGTTTCGTAAAATATCAAAATACTTAACCAATTATAAGATTCATATTTTGCAGTTGATGAAAAAGAAGACTTTAGTTTCATTTACAACAGAAACATGATGTATTGTAGGTTATTACATCCGATCCAGGTTGACCGCTTTTGTACTTGATTTTAAAGATGGTAGTTTAGATCCAGGTACACATCTTGTTGTGGCTCCGACGAAAAATGCAACTAATGAAGATCCATCTAGTCGATTTTGGTTTTTTGATCCAGATGGAACCATTCGAAATATAGCTTCTGAATGAGTGATTAAATATCGCAGGTGGCATTGATCTAATTATATCGTGGAAGACAGCACTTGAAAATCAGCTATGGATAGTGGTTAGCATTTATTTAGCTTGTTCAGCCGCATATAAAGTGATGGATGTTGAGACTGCTGACACCTCATCTGGTACATATGTTGTTACATGGGAACAGACTTTCAATTTAAATTAGCAGTGGAATCTTATTCTAAAATCTATATGAAATTTGAAAATTGAATTAAACTTTCCTAATTACTGAAATAAACATAAGAAGATGCGAATATTTGTGGAAATTTTGCTTGCATATTTTCAATAGCGCCGAAGCCTTTACTTCAAATTTCGATAGTTTGTTAGGCTTCTTTACATGTGCAGTTATATGATTAAACCGATATGAATCTTTGCAAGTTTGAGTTGATAAAATGACGGTATTAGGAAGTTCAATTGAAATGCATCAAGTGCAACAAATTTTCTATATGTTCGTTATTATTTGGCATCTAAAACATGGAATTCAGAGTGATTCCCTCTTGCCAGCCTCATGTTGAACGACAAGATGGAAATATCCCTTTTGAGAACTAGAATAACTTGCATCGAATGTGCCTCGTTGTATCTGATGATTTTGAATATTTTCTGAACTCCGTGACTATCCAAAGTCCTTTGATTCTTTTTCCATTGCTACTATGTCGCAATCGGTCATTTCTGATTACAGTTTGTTATTGTGAGTCACCGGTTCGTTTTTGTTTTCAATTTCATACTTAATTTCATTCTCTTTATACCTAGCTTTCAATAATAGGGTCGTACGTTTCAACTATTCCGTAAACTAAAAGATGATTCTTGCTATTCAGCGCCAATGATTGATCATATTCGTTTAACGAGGCTATCAGATCTGTTTCTGGTTACAATACTAAATTTTAGAGCTATTAGCGAACTGATGAATACCAATAAAAGATAGGTTTAAACTGATTCAAAAGCTATTTATGCGATTTCTAACGACTGGCTTATCTACATACCTATTTCTTTCATTATTATTCTTTTCATTCGTTGAAATTTGTTTCTTTAATGAAATGTTACACATATCATATATGTATTCGTTAAACAGATACTATTGAACTATATTATATTAGGTGTTCTAAAAGTATACACGACAATATATGTATGTAGCTCCGATGGTAGAGAAAATATCGAATTGAATGACTTCTTCGAATCTATATTTGATCGATTCGATGGAATATTAATATTACAAAAACATTGAGAGGTAACTGTAATACACTATTCATGTAAAATTTCTTTGTCAAAGTCCTTTTACAACATAGGCAAATTAAAATTAAGACATCAATAAGTCTATTTTAGTTCGAATGTTAATCGACACAGCCATTCTATCTGAACTATACTGAATAGAACTTGACTGAATTGATGATCAGATACTTCTAAAAAAATTATGTTAAACAAAAAAAACGAAGTTGATTAAAATAGTACAATATTGAACTAAAAATTAAATATAAACCAATCAAAATCAACGATTCATTTTCTAAGACAAGATAAAAACTCATTAAAAATTTACATTATATAGTTTACGAAATAAGTTTCCTAACTGATTAATCGCTGTTGAGCTGGGAATATGTACACTATGTAGATCAAAATGAACTTTGAATACTATCAAACAAGCACGAATTTTTCGCTGATTACTGGTGAGATTCTACAATCACACATTGTCTTTAAAACTAATGCTGAAATACCGTTCAAGAATATCAATAAAACTGATGTTCGAATTTCACTTGGAAACTCATCACATAAACAGTTGTTAACGATAGTTATTTGTTATAAAACTTGTACGTATTTTGATTTGCTCTTATCCTAAGATAAGAACATCGAATCTATCTGTTTACATATGACTGACATAAAATATATACATCAACCATAGCCATATTTTCGAATAGGAAAAATGACAAAATCGCATATATTTACAATAGACTACTTTCTCTCTCTCTAAGATCTGTCTTTGTGCAAAGTATCTCATTGAAATTCGAAAATTGATATTCTTAATGTTTCTGAGGAGAACTATGACATAGAGTAAAAATACAGTTTCTCTGCAATAATAAACCAAGAGTCCAAACTCTTTTTAAGATAGTTACAGCTCATTTGGATCTATACAATTCATATGGTATCGATTCAAAAGCGAGTAATCAATCGTCGGACTTTTCTTGTTAGTAAATTTTTCACAGAATTAGTGTCTGCTTTTAATTATCATATAAAAAAAAAACAAGATAAACTTCAAAAACAAACATAAAATTCTTCGAAGCAAAATAATTATTATTTGTTTTAAACTTTAAAGTTTTTTTTTTTTTTTTTATCGAATATACATTTCATTTTAACAATGATATGACCGATAAGACAACTTAAAAAACGAAATGAAAGAGAAAAAGTGAATCAATAATTTCAACAATCAATTTTATTGATTTTGTTTATGAACTATTTATTCAAGGACATAAATACAAACAGATATTGTCTTATCTTCTTTTTTTTTTTTATATTGATAAACAGATGTTTAAGATTCTCTTTTTCTTACGTCTATTATAGTGCTTACTCTATCACTCGACCTAATCATTCATTTGTGTACACAGCATATTCAAGTATAAAATAACAATGAGAACAATTAATCATATGTTTTACTAGACTAATAAATAACATCATTCAATAATCATCTGACATTTAGTAAAATTTTTATATTCTTGTCTAATATGGAAACCATACGGTCTAATTAGAAAGAATCACGACGGAAATGTTTAACGATTAACATTCGATTGATGTTCTTTTTCTATTGACTAACTCTTATATATACGATATGAGTTGAAAACTATAAGTATACTCATATAAGGGTAATTTTATTATCTATTGAGTACTACCTGCTTATGTTCACAATGACCATTGACGAATCCGACTGACTATATATATTCTTGTAATCTCTAATTGAATAGTTCATCCCGTTCATCATTTATTATATTGTTCTTTCATTCTAACATTTTTTTATTTTTATTTCTATTCACTAACATTTATTTAGTAGAATATGTACTGGTTAACATTAATTGTGTTCATCATTAGAATTTATAATATTTCAAGTCGATCTGAAATACAATTTAATATTAATGATGAAGAAGATCTTTGTAAGTATAAATAATTAAAAATTTACCTATTTTTTTCTTGTATTTCTCATATGATCAATAACTCACCAGGGAAGTTGGCACAGTTTATATGTTCTAAAAATTAAGTAGAAAAAGAATCTACTTATATTTATAGTATAACCTTTCTATAATGGACATCCTTCGAAGTATTCAAATAAGGATCCCAAGTATTTTCTAAAAGCACTTTTTTTTTAAGTATAGTAAAATCTAACAAAAAAAAATGATAATATCATGCATTCTTACATCTTGTATGAAACACAAACTCAGTAAAGTTATTTTTTCTTTGCCGTTTTCTGCACTACATAACATGACGTATACTAAGCATTTCAAGCTATTAACAAATAGCCTAGACTTACAAGTACTTACTGTAGTTAAACACAATTTTTCATTGAATGAAACGCACTTAAAAAAAAATGTATATGAGCATTGCATAGCCGTAAAGGAATATGAAAATTACTCATCCTAGCTTCGAAAATTTCACGTACTATTATAAACTTTTTTCTATTAACTAAATAAGATATACAGATTGATTTTTTGAATCCTGTACCACGCTTAGTTAATAAATAGGCTTCTAATAAAAATTTTTTTTTTCTTAACGTCCATATATCATTCGTTGAAATCTTTGGATGTTCGTTTTTTTTTTCTCTTTCATCAAATATATATATCTTTTATGTATGCATTTGATCTTACTTTTTCATCATTAAGGCAATGGACATATCATCATCCATTTCATTTATTTTTTTGACAAGCAACAAGAAAAAAAAAATGAAAGATTGAAAGGTCGATTCAATGATATTGAAATTAACTTGAGTGAATAATTAACAAAAAAAAAAAAAAATTTGTTATCTGTTTTTTGCTTCATTTTAAACTAAAGATATAATAGACAGCTAGAAAAGTCATATTAGACAAAAGAATATCGATTATATATAAAATATTTTTTTTTTACTACATCTAATAATAGAAAGATGTTAATCGGAGAGATCTATTAAATAATCTACTGTTAGTATTAATTTTCGATTCTCTCTTTCTGAATGTATAGAATAAAAAATTTATAGACATAATTGTTATTTAACCAAGGGTGAGCTGCTAGATCGGATGAAATCCAATTACTACCAGAAGAAAAAGAAAACGTAATAATTACCATCATTGATACTGTATTTCATACATTTTGCCCAAGATCATAAGACATTGTTGTATCACCAATGATCTTCAAGCAATTCTTTGTTATTGTAGGACAAAAAAAAAGATAATTATCAAAAATATCAAATTTCGATTTTTTTTTTGTTTGTTGCATAATTTTGACTACAATCAATAGTATATAGATATTAGAGGTTTTTTGATTTCTGAAATTCTTTCTATTCAAATCATGATTCATCTATAATGAGTAAGAGAAGCAATCAATTGTGAATGTCAAATAATAGACTTGCCGGCAGGAAGATAAAAGATTAACTCAGTAATACAACATTCTTTTCTCAATAACTGTTTTTTATAAATCGATTCTATAATCCATTATTGCCTTTAGGGTATCGTTTGGAATAGCTTAAAAATAGAATTAACGAATATAACTTGTTTCAAGCTTTGTCTTTATTTTTTAATAGGTAAATTATATATAGAAAATTTTTGTTCATTGTACCATATTTATAAATAATAGAAAGAATGATTAGTTATAAAATTCTCTTGAGTATAAAATAGTCTTTTTGTTCATAATAACTGTCAAATAGATAATAAATTTGCCATTTTTATTATTGAAAATGAACGATTTAATTGAACAGCAATTATCAATCGACATTTCTTAAAAAAATTCATTAAAATATATCAACATTTGTT